TTGCAATTTCCGACACCTCTCTATCATTCATCTCAATTTTACCCATACATGTAGAGTAAGAAGAATAAAATGAGTGGATTTCCTGAGACCTCAATGAATTAGAGTGTTTATACCTTGACTTGGAGACGTAGAAACTTCACATAATCCACAATTTCGTCAAGCATGGCCGCCCTATCTGTCTGTGGGGAAACTTAAAACAGATCAGTATGTTCCGAATTGGAGCTCAAAAAGTGAAATTGGTTAAGTGGTCCAACCAAAAGTTATTATTCATTCTTTTTGCAATTTTGAGAAAGAAATCAATCAATATCCTTTTTGAAATATATATAAGAGAACAAAACATGAAAAGCAGACAACATTTTTTAAAGTTGGTTAAACCAGAAAAGAAAGCAATACCAGAAATTTAGTAAAATATTAATAAACAATGAATTCTATCTAACCTTGTTGCAGCTAGGAACCAACTCTTGTAAAGCCTTCATTCTTTCTGCAATTCTTTCTCTCCGTAACTGCATGCACTAGAAAAAGTCGTTAGCTAGAAGGCAACAGCACGGATTTTTTTCCAGAGCCACAGTTTTTAAGAAGTTGAAAAAAAAAAGAAGAAGAAAATAAGAAATAAAAACAGTCAAGCACCTTGACTAGGATCATGGCTATCAATAACATATCAGATAAGCGAGTAGGTAATCTTCAAGAAGTAAGTGTAAATGTTCAATTCAAAACTTTAAACTTTCACATTACGTAAGTAGGTCTAGTCCCAGATGCCTTGCCGTGAAAAAAAAAACCTCGGCATAACAAATTACGATTTTGCTGGCTTCCATATTCCTATACGTGTAAGAATCTAACTATGCTTTCAGATTACTTGGGAGGAAAAATCACAATTTAATCCTGAAAACTAGGATAAATTCAATTATCTTACATGTAAGATAAGCAACAAATACTGCATGAGAAACTTAGTCCACCATCGAAAAGAATCTCTATCATGTCAAAGTATCCAATATCCCATATAGTTTTATATTACTCAACAGAAGAAAATAAATAGTTTACCCGCTCGGCTATACTGTGCGGATCTGTGGCTTGCCCTCTTCTTGCTCGCACTCTTGGACGAATAGTAGGTGGGTGTGATGCAGCAGCAACTGTTGCTGGTGTTGGTTGGCTATGAAAAGTCTGCAACAAAGTGCCGTAGATAATAAAAAATGAGCACGAATTCTTCAAGTAATGGAAAAATTCGTGAGGAAAAAAAATCGGAATATGAGGTACTGGTAACTTAACTTATATACGACGAAGTATATGTAATTATAGCTGTTAAGATTAACCCCCGAGTCAAAACTAAAGAATTGATTAGGTAGTGAATGAGAATTGAATCAAACTCCATCCTACCAGTAAACTGGTCACTACATTCTTTGAAGTTTGACTAGAAATCATTATCAACTAACTTAAAACATAAACAAAATTTTAAAACCTTAATCATTTTAGCATTTGGGTCCAAAAATCCATGCCCAAAATCTGCAAATGAGGAGACTTTGGTCACCAAGTCAACTAAAACCACCGGAGTCAACCCTCTGACCGAGACAATCCGCTTAAAGTTCGGAAATTTGGGTAAATACATTCTACAAAATGACAAAGATTGCCACTAGGAATGCTGAAACGGACCACTCAGTCCCCTGACTGACATAAGATGACATAACAATAATTGCACAGTTCCCCACACGTTTGGGTAAACTCGCACGTGCACGACACATTCTGTCCGTCACTCCTATCAGTCACTTTCCACTGAGGGGAAGAAAAAAAAGAAACGGAATACTTTCCCCTAGGCGCCTAAAAGGGCGCGTACAGAACACGACCCAGTAAAAAATATTTGCATTTCCCCCCCTCTAAACCCCTCTATTTCAAATTAGTCCCCAATTTTTAAAGCTTATTAGAATTTAGTCTATACTATTTTTTTTTTACAAATATCTAATTTCCTTCCATTTCTTAACTAAAAATAATGAAATAATTATATCACGTTTAAATATTTTAATTAATTAATTAGATTAATAATATTATTATGTTTATTCACTATTATTATTAATTAATTAAAAAAAACATTTTTTTGAGTTATCTTTTCAAATATAATCTAAATTAGTTTTTTCTAACCGAAAATAGAAAATATCAAAGAGTAAGTTGTAATAAAAAAATACATTAAAAATTAAATTGTAAGCTTAATATTTTCCCATAAATAAGTTCAAAGATAAATGAAAAAGAGAAGGGTATTTTTGTCCAAATAAAAAGCTACCTGGTGGAGCTGTGGAGCAGGCGGCGGCGGCGGCGGAGGAGGCCGGATAGAATGAGTTTGAATTTGTCCAAACGCCGGAAACAAACCAGCCATATGCACAGAATCTCTCTCCTGCAACAAAACCAGAAACTTAAATGACTAAACACTCCTTATATAAATCATATAATATGAAACTCTTGATATTTAGAAACAAAGTGAAGAAGATAAAAAGATCTCATGGGATTTCAAATTCCCAGCAAGAAACAAATGAACCTCAAGAATCTATCCCATGTAATTCCCTGCAATCCTATACATACATGTATACCTACACACTACCCCATAA